CTAAAAACGTTTTTATCCTTGATCCTTCACTCCTATAAACTTTCTCAGAACCACTGTCATAATGTTTGGGGACAATGGTTCTTTGACCCCACGGAGGAACATACCAAATGGAAACTGACTCCTGCCCTTCTTCCAATCCACGTTACATCACTCTCCTTTCGAGACAATGTCCCATAAGCACAGAGGACTCTTTTCTGCTACAAAGGCAATCCGAGGCTCTTTCTGTCTCTAGATCTCCATGTCCTGTATTTGTGATTCTCTTACCCCCCCTCACTTTGGACTTATTCTAGTCCAAACTTAAGCTCTAGAATTCGGCTTACATATCACTTCCTCAAAGAAGTATTCCCTTAACACCAAAGCATCCTCTCCTGGTTCCTGTCTGTTCCATCAGCCTGTTTATTTCTTTTGTGACATGTATTACAAGCTCTCATAAGCTTAATCTTTGTATTTGTTATTTCTGTCTCCTCCCTCGCCCACCATAGCCATATCTGAATTGCAAAGAGGCCAGGAGCTTACAGAAATGGCACACGTTTCAGAGGCGTTCACCGAGACTGTGAGAAAGTATTTCCCTGAGACGTGGATCTGGGACTTGGTGGCCGTAGAGTAAGTAACTTTCTTTATATATAAAAGGTAAGAATATAGACTCCTCACGATTTTCCGGGTTTGGCTAATTTTTCAATATCCAAGTATTTCTTTCAGACACGTTGTTATTTTCAGGAGAGGCTGAACATAAGTACTTCTGCTATGAAGTCTCACTCTTCTAATTATATCAGAGCTGAGAAATTTTGCACATATTTAATTCTAAGACTTCCAGAAAATGGGAATAAGGACCAGGTACTGCGTAGACCAACACCTATAAGAGATCTTTCACCGGCCAACAGTCTTGGGTTAAGCACAGAATCAGTCAGACCAACGAGACGCAGTCGTAGTAGAATTAAAAACTGTAATGGGGCACCTGGGTGGCTCAGTCGGTTGAGCGTCCGACTTCGGCCCAGGTCACGATCTCATGTCCGTGAGTTCGAGCCCCGCGTCGGGCTCTGGGCTGACAGCTCGGAGCCTGGAGCCTGCTTCGGATTCTGTGTCTCCCTCTCTCTCTGCCCCTCCCGCATTCATGCTCTGTCTCTCTCTGTCTCAAAAATAAATAAATGTTAAAAAAAAAAAATTTTTTTTTAAAAAAAAACTGTAAGCCTGCCTTCATTGGAACAGTATTTTCAAGAGTAAAATTTAAGAGCAATCTCAAATTACAGATTCAATTTGTAACAACATTGTCTATAATAGACAATGCTATAGTTATATGTCTAGAGAAGATTCTGATATAGACTAGAATTGCAAACAGAATTGGAAGGAAAGGACTTCTAATATTTTCCCATTTCAAGCCTTGATTATCCTCTCCTTTATTGATATTTCTACTGAGTGCATTCAGGTCACGACAATAGAATTATTTATAGGAGTTCTCTTCCTAGAAAGAATTTATTTCACTGTTTACTTTCTGTTCTTCACATTTCTATCCTCCCCAGCGCATCAGGTGTGGCTGAAGTGGGAGTAATAGTCCCTGACACCATCACGGAATGGAAGGCAGGGGCCCTCTGTCTGTCCAATGACACTGGGCTTGGTCTCTCGCTTCCCGCCTCCCTCCGCGCCTTCCAGCCCTTCTTTGTGGAGCTCACAATGCCCTACTCTGTGATCCGCGGAGAGACCTTCACGCTCAAGGCCACTGTCCTAAACTACCTTTCCAATTGCATCTGGGTAAGGACCTCTCTTTCCTCAATTGAACACAAGGTGACAGTCCAATAAATTGAAAACTGCACTCTTTGAAATACTGTGCCAGATGAGCTCACCAGAGGAGGAATCCTCTCAGAGATATTCATATGTTATAGACGCCATGGTTGCTGGTATTTCCAAACACGTGCAACTTAAAACAAGCTTCTGAGCCTTACCACAACCCCGTAAGTTTAGGAAGCTTGTGCAGTATGAAGATTTCTGACAAGGTGGACAAAAATCAGTACGCTTCATTCTCACGTCTTAGATCCCTTAAGGTTTCGACTTCTACCTTCCACATATTTAATTTTCACATAGCATCATAGACCAATAGACATATCAAACCTCACTTTGAAAGTTATTTGTGAGCATCTGACCTCCCCTGAAACCACAAGCATTTATAAATCTTGTAACACTCTGCTGGGAGAGCTGAAGGAATGGTCAAGATCCCAGGCCAGAGAGGTAGAGTTTCCACAGGCAACATGCCATCATGACTTTTGCACCTCCTGTCCCACCCCATGAATGAGCAGATTATTGAAAAATACTAAGGTTTGCATGTCAGATCATGGAAAGGTAGTTGGTCTGCACTTAGATCATCTCTACTATTAGGCAACCTAAAATCTAACCAATCCCCAACACGCTTTATTTCAAACCATTATGCTTTTGGTCTCCTTCTCCTTCTGATCTGTCTCTTGGATTTACGTGTGGTTTCAGGTTAACGTGCAGCTAGACGAATCTCCTGCATTCCTAGTCCAGGAGAAGAAACAAGAGTCTCACTGCATCTGTGGGAATGGCCGGCAAACTTTGTCCTGGGCAATAACACCAAAGGCATTAGGTGAGGGACACTCTCCTAGAGACAATTCTCTACTCAAGGATTGTATATGTCAGCAGGATCCTTACGTCTAATGTTCTTTCCCTCAGGCAAAATCACACCCCCTCCAATGGTAGGATTTTCGCCTGTGTCTTTTACTCTAGAAGGCTATCCCCACTTCCTTTACTTCCACCTCCGCCTTGGATTCTCAGTATCATTAGCCTCTGTGTTTCCATTCCTGCTCCTGTGTTTTTATAAAACAAAAAGAGGTTGGGGCGCCTGGGTGGCTCAGTCGGTTAAGCGGCCAACTTCGGCTCAGGTCATGATCTCGCGGTTTGTGAGTTCGAGCCCCATGTCGGGCTCTGTGCTGACGGCTCAGAGCCTGGAGCCTGCTTCTGTCTCCCTCTCTCTCTGCCCCTCCCCTGCTCATGCCCTGTCTCTCTCTGTCTCAAAAATAAATAAAACATTTAAAAAATAAATAAATAAATAAATAAAAATAAAACAAAAAGAGGTTACAAAACATTGAACACTTATGAAGCTTGAGGTTTGGAGGCATGGAGAAAGAAGGCGATGGTGCTCATCTGTACTGCCCCTTTTTTTAGGAAATGTGAACTTCACCGTGAGCGCAGAGGCACTGGAGTCTCAAGAGCCATGTGGGATCGAGGTGACTGTGGTCCCTGAATACGGAAAGAAAGACACAATCATCAAGTCTCTGCTGGTTGAAGTAAGTAAGCCAATCCATTTGATAGGTCACAACGAGTCAATAAAAACAATGGTGAATCCAGTTGAGATTCCAAGTTTTAGTTAAGAAGGGTTAAATAATACATAATCACAGAAGAGTTCACAATATTCTCTCCTCTTCTCTTTCTCCATCTCTCTCTCTCTCTCTGTCTCAATATTTATATCATTTTTCCCTCACTTCCTCCTCATCTATCAACCTGTCTCCTTCATATTGCTTATACTTACAGAATTTATTTATGTAATACATTTGGAAGTCAGTTCTACTACCAACATACATGTCCATTCTTACCTCTACCTTTTCTTTCTTTCCACCTAAAGCCTGAAGGACTAGAGAAGGAAGCAACATTCAACTCCCTGCTCTGTCCACCAGGTAAGAGTCACTCATCATAATTAAGATAGCATTGACCAAAGTTTGTGTAA